AGACTAGTGGATTATATATGAACAGTGATGAAGTATTTCTTTAAAAAAAAAATTGTAGTTGATTTGTCAAATTTATGTAACATTTAATCAATAATAATTTATTAAACTAAATTAATTGTTGTACATTTTTTCTTTTAAAAAAAATTGTAGTTGATTTGTCAAATATATGTAACATAAAATTTGTCTTATCGGCCTTATAAATAGAGAATGTAGTAACATATAAAATGTTGCATAAAACATCCCAAATACACATAAAATCACTAATACGAAGTATAAGAAAACATCTCAAGTACACGAAAAACGTCAACCATAGGGAGACTTTATTTATTTACATATTGTCAAAACCAATGAATTGACGTTGGTCGTTGGTCAGATACAAATTTCTGAAAAGAAACTTTATACATCAAGTAGTGAGATGGCTTAAATTTATCAAACTTGATATTACAAAAAGTGTGAAACAGTTTAAAAAAAACAAAACAAAAAAAAAAAAAACAAAAAGTGTGAAACAGTTTCAAAAAAAAATAAAAAATTGCTCCACTTACAAACCATTACAAAGCAAAAACATGCTCTTAGAGGTGGGAAGGTACCATCTTCATAGAGTGTGTTGACTCTTATGAAGTTTTGATGATGTTAAAAATTGAGCAAACTTCCTTTTAATAAGGATTTTCTAGTGTTGTGATGTTGGCAGGTTTAGTAAGCGTAGAGGGCTGAAGTAGGAACTGGAACAAAGGAACTTTAGAAGATCCATGAGGACAAGTAAAGAACAGAAGAAGAGTTCCAGCAATGGAACTTCCCGAAGTTTCTCAACAGGAACTTCAAACGGGTTGTAACGACCTGGTTCTGGTGTAATGTTGGGGCAAGCCTCAACAATCAAGGTTCAACACAAAGATCGAGATATCAACCGAAGAAGATGGACTTCATAACTTATAGTTGTGTAAAAGATAAGTTTGTTTTCGTAGGATGATGTAAACATATAAATGATAGATATGCATGGAACTTATTAGAAATCAGATAAAGCTTGGCAAACTAATTAATTCGTAAAAGATAATTATAAGTTTTATGAAAAAGTACTTAATTTATTTTATCTTATAAAATCTGGTTTAACTTGGTTTTATCTTTTTCATAAAATTCTATCTTTTAATAAAAACGAATTTGATAAAATTTGGTTTTCATAAAAACGAAATTAAATCCGTTTGGTTTCGGTTTTAAGGAAGATAAGATCAGATTTCTATTTGATCTATCTTGTTTGCGAAAACCCTAGTTTGAGAAGCTGAGAAACTCCTATAAATATAGAAGTATTTCAGCTTAGCAAGATGAGAGTTTTAAGCGTGAAAACCACTTAGTGCTTAAGAGTAAGTTTGCCAAAGGTTCAAGCTTTATCATTTTTATTTCGGGTTTCATGTGTAGCTTTCCATTTATGTGTTAGAGTGTGTCTTTGAGTTGTAATTGGTTTTGGGGTGAGATTGTGAATTCTCTTAAATTCATGTTTGAGTGTATGAGTTTGAATTCTCTAAAATTCGAGTGGTAGTCAGTCACCCCGAGTGTGTCTTGGGTTGCATAGTGGGAAAAAGGAACCTGAGTGTGTCTTAGGTCGAGAAAGGAACCTGAGTGTGTCTTGGGTCGAAAAAGGTGCCTGAGTTTGTCTTAGGTCTGATAGGATAGGTTCTTATCAATCAGCAAGTGTCTTAAGAGGAACTTGCGAAGCAAAGGTCTGTGTAATAGGTTGTACTAGGAGAGTTGCCTATTATAGTGGAATTTGTTTATAAGTCCCAATAGGGCCGAGGTTTTACTTCCAGTTAGGCACTGGATGGTTTCCTCGTAAACTTGGTGTGTGCTTTAAGTTTCTTTATGTTTTTATTGTTTATTTCCGCTTAAGTTCCGCGATTGGAACCTACTACTATTCACCCCCCCTCTCGTAGTAGTTCATCTAAACTAACAGAGTGACATGCTTCACTGCAAGTTATAGATTTCGTTTTTTGATCAGGGACGGTGTACACAATGGATTTTCTAAAGCAACTGAAGCAGATTTCTCGCGGTCAAAACCCCTTGTACATATATAGCCTACACCAATCAACATGTTAATATATGCACTCAAGTGCTCAACCCATTAATCATAACCTTGTGGCTTTAAGATGAGAAAGGGGAAAAAACATGAAGAAATGCACCTTCATTGAAAAGTCTTTTCACCTCACTGGCGGATAAACCTGACAAGACAAAAATCGTTAAGTCACTTGAATTATTTCAAACAACAAATTTTACGTCCATACATAGTTGCACCACTTAGTCCTATACTATATTTTGAAATTTTTAGTAATAGGTAGTAAAAAATAATCATTTTCTTCTAAATCATGGATTAAACTATATTTATTTGTTACTAAACATGACTCCAATAAGAATATGAAAAACTATCCAAGGACAAAGATCTCAGGTTCTTAGCGCTCTTGTAAACAAAAAACAAGCATTTGTAACCTGTAACTATTTTGGATAAGTTGCTTCCACAGTACAGCGTCGTCTTATGTAGTTGTTGTAAAGTTTTGCAACGAACATCAATTGGCACTTGACTGGTCTTCTGATCAGCAAAAACCTAAATAGTAGAATTCTTTAAGCATTGATAGCATCCTGAAAAATACAATGGTGTACCTCATTTGTCTGAAAATAAGTTCCATTTAGTGGAAAGTTCCCCCTCAAAGCTGTCCTAAAGGGAATCTGTAGATTTTTATTTAAGTTTAGAAATGGACATCTTTTTACATATTTATTGCATATAAATCAAAAGATTTAGCTTGCATCTTTCTCACCATAACTGTCCCAGGAACTGTCTCAGACCATTTTCTGTTACTAAGACCTGAAGGCGGTGTGATTTCCACCGATGGATCTCCTGAACAAATGGCATGCGATTAGTAAAAAAATAAATTAAAATAAATCATGTCTTAACATCGAACAAATGACTACCTGATTCCCATACCAGAAGAAGATATGGGGATGGATCATCACACATTCGGTCATCAAACTACACGAGCAATAAACAGTCATGACAGATTTGACTAAGCGTAGATAAGTTTCAAATAGATACAAAATTAGCAGTCACCGTTTCTAGAATCGGATGCCAATCTGGAAGCTCATAACTGCATTGGCAATTACACGAGTTAGTAGAAATATCAACATTTAACAATCTTTTTCTAGCTTTTCTATATTGGTGCTAAAATATTGACAAGACTTGTATAGAAGTTTTTACTGTCCATGGATCAGCAACAAAGTATCGATATACTCATTAAGCAAAATGTCAGTAAAATGGTTGAAAACTAAATCATTTTTTCTTCTAAGACTCCATACCTATGTTTGGGACGCATTTTCACAACAAATATAAGATACACCAAAACAAGGGCTTCAAATTATGGACTCTTTCATGCTTTTTGGACTAAAATTATTGAGCATTGATTCAAATATTTGAGTGTCAAACTTAGACTTGACACTTGCAACAATGCCTAATATGAAATGCTGAGTATGAGTAATAAGGTTTACAAGCAACTCACACACAGTGTTGTGTCCTTGTCTGGCTTTTTTTAGGTTTCCTTCCTATTGAAGAAGAAACATGTGTGTTCTTTTCTTTGTGACTTCTCGGTTTCTGGTGTGATTCATCTTTTGCTGGTGTTTTTGGAGCTTCAATACCACCAGAGTGAAATGTGTCTGATCCTTCTTTACTGGACCTTCTTGTCCTCTCAGTTTTGATTTTGATGATCCCCCTTTAGCTCTTGTCAACATTCTTTGAGTGATAAGCCAACCCATGCCATCAGAGTCTTCTATGTCAATATCAGCATAACTTTTGCACTCCTTTCTCATGGGACATTCGGCACAGCTAGGTTTCTTCTTTGTACAGAAGACCTGTAATTAAAAATAACAAGCCACTATTACTTGTCTATAAGAAAATAAGATTATAACTCTGAAAGTTAGATAATAAACTTACCTTCCCAAATGTAATCATCTGATAATGCAGCTCATACCTAAATACTCAAAAGAATTAACCATTGAAGATATATAACATTATTTAGGCAAATGAAACAAGTCTTTTCGCATTTAAATGATTATAGTTTATATAACATTACAAGGTATTATGGTCAAGTTTGCTCAGCCGGGGCCAAAGATATTGATTAATCAAATCATGAAGTTTAGAGGACCTGCAGACATATTTTTTATGATCTTTATCACTGCAACCAAAAGTGATTCAACGAAATTATAAAGTGATAATTCTCAGTTTCTTACTCATACAAAACAGACATTAGAAGATTATCACTTGTGTTTTCTGGGATTGGAACCTCCCCAAGACGCACTGTCACTCGAGCAACATTCACATCAACCTGTTCCGCAAAATTGATGTCAAATTCCATTGTCAAAGACTATAATCTTCAAATTATAAAATAATCAGACTTCATGAAAAACCTTACAGGAAATGCTGGTTGTTTGAGGGTCAAAAGTTGGACACAGCCTACACTCTTTAGCCCTAATCCATATATGCTTAGAAGAAATTCCCTAAAAGAAGATGTTGGTGAATAAAAAGCAGTACAAAATAAAATAGATGATTTCTGAGAGTTCAGTGAGGTTATTCAACAGTAAATGACTGTCAGGCTTACTTTGCTTTGAGCCGGGGAACATTTCGAACCCATTCAAGGTCCAAATTCCCGTGATCCTTCATAAGTCGGTCTAGGAATTCCTGCAAATGTAATACCCTCTGTTCAATAATATGTACTAATTCACAGAATCTTAGAAACAGGAAAATATATTCACACTTTAAAATAAACTTAGGTTTAAATATAATTTTCAAGAAACTCCGGTTTAACAAATCTTATATCAAAACCTTTTCTTTTTAGAATAGTACCAATTGTACCAACAACATACTTTGATGCGGTGAGCTAGCTTAATGTTCATGCCTCTTAATAAAATGGCATCCGAGATGTCCTCAACTTTAGCTCGCCTAACAGCATTCCAATCCACATAATCAACCGTATTAATGGTTCGTTCTATATCCACACTGCCATATTGCATCCTCTTCCCTGAAACTTTTCCTTTTATCGAGTTTTTCACTTTCTTCTCATCCAAACTTTCCTTATTGTCAGCACTCAATTTCATTCTGTTCCCTTTTTATCCTGATTATTATGGCAAACACGACCACCTTTAATTCTTTGATCTCTCAACATTTGATGATGCCGGCCATAAGCAACGCAATCACGGTCCTGGGAAAAGATCACGCCAAGTTCCATAAAAGCAGAACTGCACCGAGAATTGAAAAGTTATTTCTGCAACCTGCTGTTTTTACAATAGTTTCCCGAAAAAGTTCTTAAACATATGAGAATATGTACCTTGAAAAGTTGTCGCCCACCCTTTGAGTCAATAAAGCACCAATAACTGAGTCCAACACTGAGCCTTTCCATGGAGAATAATCTCTTTTACCTATGCAGAGATTCAAGATTAGCTACTTTACTGTAAATATAACAAGCTACTTAGGTGAAAGTAAGCAAGATTATATTAATTTGGAGGAAACAAAAGATTATATAGTTTTCGAGAAATTTTCCTTTTAATGAATGTCTCTTTCGCTCAGGTTTTGGTGTTAACATATAGGCAGTTTAAGTAAAATGGAGAATTTAAGTGATATATCTTGATTAGTTCAGTAGTTAAGTAACAAACTTCTCCTGCTAACAACAATTTTTTGAAATCAACATCTTGTCAATCAATCACCAAAAACATGCTAAGCTGATTGCTCACCCTGAATGGTACCCACTTTGGATATGAATGATTTCACCTTTCTGTGGAAGATTAATGAATTATCTTCCACTGAGACGGTCCCGTCTTTTTCAAAGACTGTGTCACAACTCTCAGCGATAGCTTTCTTCATCAAAGCTTGCCATACTTTATTTGCATCCTTTGTTTTTTTCAATGATAGCTGGTTTTTCGAGTTTGGGGAGACTCTTTTGTTATGCAACTTCAGCACACGGCCTATTCGTGTACGACTTACCATTTTATCTTTATCTTTTTCAATAGCTATCAACACTTGCTCCATAATTGAACGAGTTAAATAATGCGAATGAGCAAACAATTCTGAGACTTCTTCCATTTTATTTTTCTGAATTTTCATGGTAGGCTTCGCACGCTTTCTCCTTGTTGGAGAGGGGGTTGGTGGTCCCACCACAAAAGCGTCTTTCCTGTTTTCTTTCTCAGACACCATTATTTCTTCTCCGTCATCACTTGAGACATACTCACTAGCTGAGCCAACATTTGGCTGCAACAACGTTAAACATTTATGGAGTATCTCTGGTTCATCTTGCTCCTTATTCTTTAAGTACCCTGAGAACAAATTATTTTGATTCAATGCATATCAATTTTCGATTGGACTATGTTTAAATGCTTAAGTAAAAGTGTAAAACCATCAAGTATCACTTAATCAATTAGGGATGGAACATGCTAGTTCATACTAGTAAAACCTTATAGGCAAGTCTTAACTCTTAAGTAGGTACGTACAGTTTTGGTCACGTACTCCATTTTAACTTTCATGCTTCATCCATTTATAGTTGTTCAACTTTGACTTAATTTTTTCTTGTCACATGATTTGTAGTGTTTGGTCTCAAAATGTTATGAAATTGTAATATAGTTGTAACGAAACAGAAATGAAGATAAAATTTGCATCCAAGGTTAGAGGTCACATACCAATCTCAAGAGGTGGTTCAGGGATTTCTTCCTTTTGTTTCCCCAAGTCATCAATAGGGACAGTAATTCTTGCATTAAGATTTGAATCCTGCTGTGTACTTTCAGAAAACCCCATTTCATCACCAACTCGGCTTCTTTTTCCGAGAAAAGATGTGTCATCAAAATCCAGGCGTCTTTTGCAGTGAAAAGGCTTAGTACATGCTTTTCGTGGCACAGCAAAAGGAGAAGACACAGATAATTTTGAGCAGCTAATCATACTTTCTTCTTTGATAAAGTCCATAACTTCCTGCACATAAAAATCCATCAACATTTCTTGGTTAAAAAATTACAATTCAAAAATTTAGTTTCATACTGATTACTACTATCTTCTTAGTTAGTTTCATATTGATTACTCCTATCTTCTTACACTGCAATGATAATTTGAAGCAATGTCTTCAAACAGAATCAGATACTGACTAAGATAGACCATTTAAAATTATTTTAAATTTTTTGTATGTGTAATAGGCTCAATCCTTTAATAGAGATTTTAAACAAAAGGAAAGAGTTTGAGTATATTTGACTTATAATAGAAATTACTAAACAATAATCAACAATTAAATTTTTTTTGTATGTGTAATAGGCTCAATCCTTTAATAGAGATTTTAAACAAAAGGAAAGAGTTTGAGTATATTTGACTTATAATAGAAATTACTGAACAATAATCAACAATTAAATTTTAAAATATAATTAGTATAAAAAAATATTATTTTGATATTTGAAGTTATTTGATAGACAATTTTTTATCTTAGATTTTTTTTTATAAGATAACATGTTTAATATGTCAAGTAAAATAAGTCACGTCAATTTAATTTTTAATTGAAAGTTTTCAAATGTAGTGCTTATTTAACTTGTTCAATATATACGACAAGTTGCATGAATCAATGATTTAAGATATTTTTTAAAATAAAGTGAGAATTAATAAATAATACTTCCCCGTTTCTTAAAAATTGTGTGCAATCCTCGATTTCTTACACGTTTGTCAATGCACAATTTCTAAGAGTCTGTTTGGTAGAGAGGAAATGGTGGGAAAGGAAGTGGAAGAAAATATAACACTTTCCGTCATTCCTTTATTAATGTCTAAGAAAATAAGCTGAATTTCTTTCACTTCATTTATTTGAACCAAACATTGGAAAATAAGCTTGTTTTCTCTTCCTTTCCTTTCCCTTCCTTTCTCTTCTTTTCCTTTCTCTTCTCTTCCTTTACTAATATTCAACCAAACAGGTTGTAAGTCAAATATCTTTAATTGTACATGAGTAAAATTATAAAAATTGAAATTTAATAAACTAGTTGTTAATACGATTTTAACAAGACTCCACCTGACTATTCTTATATTTATTTTGACTACTAATGAATAGTGTCGATTTCCCTTATGGCCTTAGGGCATGAATTTAGTGGAACCGAGGGAGTATATAATTTTTTTATTATGATCACATAAATGTATAGTGAAGTAAATTTACCAACACCCTTTTTTTTATGAAACCTAAAAAAATAAAAATTGTTTGCATGCATTAGGCTCTGTCATCTAAATCGATCAAAAGCACTACAAATTGAATACTGTACATGAAAATTAACATGACAAACTGTGAATTGAGAACCAAGCAAGTAGTTACACATGCAAGCTATTTGAAAACCCCAGCAAAACAAAAGCATATGAAAATAAACTTTAAATTGAAGGAAATTCAAAGATGAATTGAGAAAACTTACATAAAAGCAATTGAAAAGAGTGAAACGAGAAATGACGAACAATGATCAGAGCAAATAAAAAATAAGTGAAAGAAATTAGAGCAAGTTTGAGGGCATTTGAGCTGGGAAAGAAAGCACCAGAGTACAGTGTAATCTAAGGATTCTAAGGTGAAATAAGGTCAAAGTAAGCGGCATATAAATGTCAAGTTATTCAAGCGGTAGCACTGTAGTCCTCTGCGGTTATCATTTGTTGTTACCACAAGTTAATTGTCCGATCAAATGTTCGGTTTTAAATAATATTGGTCTAATTTACACGCCATGCGATGTTTTTTAAACTTAATACTCAATTTTAATAAAATAGTTAATATATGAATTTTAATCTTGATGATGGATTTTAATATTGTATAAAAAAATATAAATGAATGTGTTAGTATAAAAAAATATAAATAAATAATAATCTAATATGAACCAAGAAATTGATAAGGGTTTTACAAGAGTCAATAAAAATAGATTAAAGTGAAATTTTCTAACAAACACAAGCATGCAAAATTATAATATCGGTAAACAATGTTTGAAAAGTGAAAAAATCATAAAGAAAATTGTTGCAAACACAATCGACAACATTAGAATTAGAGAACAAAAGAAGAGAAAAAGAATTGTTATTAGTACGTAGAATAAAAGAAAGCAATGTGAATTATGTGTGTATTTATACCCACCAAGGAAGTGGATTTTTTTTAATGTGAATATTTTTTTATCAATTATCATAGTAATTGATTGACTAATGAATGAGGAAGTTAATGAAAATAGAGAATTAATCATGTTACTGACATGCTGTATTAAAGGAATTTATTGATTGATTGAAAGATTGATTTGTTGATTTAGGAGGCACATCTGGCACATTAGCAACCACAGTAGGTTTGGGGCAAAAACTAGGCGGAACACTGAGTGTATTGCTAACACCCTGATGGGAAAATCAAACCAAGAAATAGAGGAAATAATGTCCTCAGGCAGGGGAAAGTTACAAGGAAGAACTATGACAAGAGTAGCAGTGACAAGTGGATATGAACTATGATAAGGGTTACATTCATTACAACAACAGCTAGCTAGGGTGGTGGCAAGGAGTATCTTTACTAGAGATCTCGGGGTCTTGCATCGATATGAAGTTCAACCAATGATGATGTTATTTAGTTTGATCTATTTCTTGTAGCTATGGTTTGTTTTAAACACTGAATAAACATTGGTGGTTTAAACTTTGCAAAAATAGAATGTTTTGTGTGACCTTGTGTCATTGTTAGGTCGTAGACTCTTTGAAGCTCATGGTATATGGAGAGGGATGTATATAATAATTGAGATTGTGATCTATGAATTTGGTTTTTCACAATATTGGTTTGCTACTCCTATTCTACAACATGTTGCAAGTATATATTGTTATTGTCGTAATGTCATATATCACTTGGTATTTATATATAAAGGTATGATTTTTAATGGAAAAGGACGGAGTCAAGCACAAACATAAGCAAGCTTAATTAAGATAATATGAAATTTTATCCTAATAACCACTTCAAATGTATTGTAAACATGATAATTAAGCAAATAAAACATCACCGGGCAAAGCCGGGTAAAAAACTAGTTAGTACCTGATCTTCAAGATTTTTGAAAACAGGGTCCATCTTCTTGAGGTAACCCCCCCGTTGATCTTTTCCAAGGGTGGAGACTGCCAGCTTCTCCAGTATCCACCTCATTGGGAATGGGTGTTGAGCTAATTGCCCCGCCTCCATCTCTTCCCTCACAGATGTGAGGCCTATAGAATCCCACAACTTCGGGATTCGTACGAAGAAGAAACACTGTAAAGTACAATCACATTAATTTTTAAATAATAAATTTCATAAAATAAAGATTGATTAAAAAAAAAAGAAGCTTACCAGTATTAGCCAACCACAATATATCTGTTTTCTCGGAAGTATTCTCCACAAATAACTTCTCCAAATGATGTTGGAGGAAGGCAAGCATGCCGGCCCCCCATGCATAAGTCCCACATGTCCCATCTGGATCGCTGAGGACCTCGAAAAATGCGGGATAAAAGTGATTCCCATGGTGAGACGGCATTATAGCGCATTGCACTATTAACATCAATAGTGCTGCCTTGCGCTTGTCTTCATCCAAACTTGTGTCGCCGATAATCTCCTGAAGGTGGTCAAAATCATTGACAGCCTCACCAAAAATATCATGGCAATGCTTGTCGCTGTAATCTTTGAGAAGGACGGGAGTCCCATCAATCTTGATCCTAGCTAGGAATAATACATCTTCAAGTGTTATTCCTAGAACATTCCCTCGAATGTTGAACGTGTTGGAAATGGGATTGTAATATTTCACCAGCTTTGACAAAAGTGGTGTTGGAATCGTGGATTTGGGTAGGGTTAGTAGGTTGTACAAACCTCCTTTTGACAAGCAATCCTCGAGAAACGGCTGAGAAGTTTCACGTAATATATTTTCTGTATCACTAAGGGTAGTGAGCTTGCCGACGAATTTATAGTTGTGCTCCATTCCCTGGTAAATGACAAACACATACAAAGCCCATTAGGCCAAATAAAAATCTTCAGTATATGATTTAACATAGTAAACTAAAGATAAGCATAACAGCAGTGAATAAAACTGCATGCATGAACTGCATCAATAATGAACTTGCATCAATAACCGAGAAGTTGGAATTTGTAAATTTTAAAGGTGTCATCTTTATGATGTATTTGGTTAATGAATGTCAAAGTTGAATTTCTTTATGTTCAAAGACTAGCAATCTTATGTGGAGGAAATTGAGAACAAGGGACAAATTGTTTGATTTTGGAGTTGTGGAATCTGCAGATTGCCCTCTTTGTGGTTTGGAGGATGAATCTATGGATCATTTGTTTTTTGCTTGTCCTTATAGTCAGAAGTGTTGTGCTATAACTGCAGCTTCTACTACTGTGCCTGTTGATCTGTCTAATCTGGATGCTTGTCTTTCTAGCTTGAATGCAGTAAGGGGGAGATTTAAAGCGATAATCGGAATTCATATTTTAGTACAATAGTAAAGATGGCCACTACTATTTACAAGTGCAGGTTAACTTCATTTTTTGTACTTGAAACTAAAACTTTTTTTTGTTAAATATTAATCAATTACACTAACTCTCTTGAATCTAGGTGAAGGCTTCAGGACTTGGAAATCAACCCATAAGGTAATTCCCAAAGCTGTTTTCAAAATTTAACAAAACTCAACTACAAGTACCTACAAACATAAAGCTGTTTTCAAAATTTAACAAAACTCAACTACAACTACAAGTACCTACAAAGAAAATGCGATCAACTTAATTTGGGTAAGACATAACTCGGCCAAGACAACTCCCTAACCACAAGGACATAACCTAAGCTCGTCTTCAAACGAGTAGAACTCGTAACTTTTGATGTTATTTCTCTGTCACATAAAATTTAATAAGATATAACATTAAAAAAAGGGAAAAATAAACAAATATCATTCCAAAACAGATGAGCATTTCTGATACTGATATCTGTGTGTTGTGCAGGACTAAAAGTGAGTCTTTGACTCATTTGTTCTTTGGTTGTTCTGTTATCAAGCTAATCTGGGACAAGGTCAGAAGCTGGTTGCCTAGCTGCTTCTGTAATACCTGGCCAAGTTAGACTTATATAATATATAATATACAAAGAATGACCAAATTTTTATCAAAAATGTCCATAATGTTACTTGATAACCAAATTAAGCTTGCACTGCAGGCTTACACTTGCAATCAATATGTCATTTTATTTATACGTGTAATTTAAAATATCTTTAATATCTTCATAAACCATCTTACATGTTACTTTAAAAAAAATCCCTCCACTTTTTTTTTACCAGATATATAATAATCATAATAATTTCTAAAAGATATTGCAATTTTAATGATCACTAAAATAACAATATCAACCTTTCAATTAAAAAAAATTAATTAACCAAAACCTATCTATTCTACTCGTAAGCAAAATTATTAAAATGAATATAGCCAATATTAGTGTACAATGAATATAGCATATCATATAGAAAAAAAATATTATTACCATATCATAACATATCAAAAAAATATTGTAAAAAAATAAAAATAAATTAATTAAAAAAATAAAAAGTAAAAAATAAAAATATTGTAGTGCTTATATATATTTTGACTTAATTACTACCTATCATAACATATCAATATTATAGCGTATCAACAATAAAATATACAATAATAAGTAACACCTTAAAAGAAATGAAAACAAACTTACAATAAAATAGACAAAACTAACAAACTAACATACATGTGAATGAAAACGATGAAAAAAGAAGACAATTTAAATGTAAAGATGGTGAGATTTTTACGATAAGGAAAATAATCTCATACCTAAATTGGAAATATTATTATTATAATTATTATATGATATGATATAAAAGATAATAATATCCTCGTAAAAAAAACATATGTGAGTGAAAACGATGAAAAACGAAGACTATTTAAATAAAAGGATGGTGAGATTTTTACGGTAAGGAAAATAATCTCATACCTAAATTAGAAATATTATTATTGTATGATATGATATAAAAAGATACTAATATTCTCATAAAATAAAAATAAAAAGATACTAATATCTTATTTTATAATATTTTTACTCTGACATAATATTTGGGTTCTTTGCAAATATTATAGTGATTAAGCATATACTCTTATGATATTAAAGATATAGAAAATATTTTATGATCCTCTATCCTTTATAATATACAAAATATTTTTCTTGTCTGATTATTTTTATTATAGTTAAGATTGAGTATAAATTCTTTCTTTATTTATTTTTTATAATTATGTAATAATAATTATATTATATTATAAGATAAGCGAATCAGGGAGTGACAAATGTCAGCTCCACGTTGATCTGCTTGTCTTATAGTATAGGATATATAGATACTAATAAAGCAAAACACAGATGATGTCATCAATGCATATGTGGCGGCCTTTCATTAAAAAAATTCCCGCCAAAAGCATTGAAGACATCGTAAATAAAATTATTTTTTTTCAAAAAAAAAACGACAACTACATGCCAACTCACTCTATCTTAAATTAAATCCGGGAAAAAAAATTAAATTCAATTAAATAAACTATAAAAAAAGGATATATCCCATCTTACTTTATTTTAAATTAAATCTAAATAACAATAACTATTAAAAAACAACTATATCCCATCAAAACAATATGAAAAAAACAACTATATCCCACCTAAAAAACAACAACTATATCCTATATTAGTACTATTAAATCAACAACTTATATACGAAGTATAAACTTTAAATTTATAAGAATTGTATAACTTGAATAAAAAAAGACATAACAACTGCTATTCTATCTTATTATCACTTTAACTTTGTCTAAAAATAAATTAGTATATTATAAAATTGTTTTTTTTCCAAACCGTGCATTTTAATTTATTCCTCTCAAACAAGTTTCTTACTCTAATCTTTCAAACAAATTTCAACTTCAAATCATGTGTGTTTTTTCATTTGAAATTCTATTATAATTATTTTGGAGACAAAAAGCAGATGGTGCTGCCCATGGAATAGATAATAAACACTTCATTTTCTTATTCAATCTTCATTGAGAAAATATAATTAGGAAGCGAGAGATTTCTCGAATGAAGATTGGTCCTAAGTCAATCGCCCTAAGTCACCCTTTTCGGGGAACTTCCCCAAAATCCCTGATAGACTATAAAAAAAACAAAAATTAGGGATGAGCAAAAAAAACGTATTAAAAGAATTGTTAAAATCGTATTAAAACCGTACTAAAATTAAGGATGAGCAAAAAAACTGGGTACCCGGTCTGGTACCTGGAACCGGCTTGGAACCGGCGGGTCCAGAACCGGTTGTGACTAGTTCCGGTTGCGGGTAGAAATTTTTAGGACCCGGTACCCGGCGGGTACCCGGTTATACAAGTTTCATGCCCGGGTATGCCATATATGCTTGCGTTTTTTATGTAATTATACAGTTTGTATTAACATTTTTGTTCATATGACATGTGTGTTAGTGTGTAGTGGCCCAAATAAAAAGAAGGCCCACTACTATATTTCTACGAAGTACTCCGTACAAGTTTATAAAGAAAATCCTAAAGTATAATATCTCTTTTTCCTAAAGCATAATAACACTCTTCTCTTTTTCATCTTTAATGTGGACGAAGCTGGAGTCCTAGATGCACTATAGGAGATTGGTCGAGGTGTCAGGTGGCTTAAGAATTCGGAGCGCCCTGATGAAGTGAAAGATAAGTCCAAGTGGTGCAGATACCACAACGACCATGGCCATTTAACGGAAGAATGTAATGCTCTAAAGAAGGAGGTTGCCTAGCAGCTGAAGAAAGGTCTCCTTAATTAATCATCTGTTGGACAAGAAGGGTAAAGGAGCTGAGCAACCGAAAGAAGTTGAGTCAGGTGTTCCACCACCTCCCCTAGCTAATGCCAAGGTGATCCACGTGATATGTGTCGGATCTGAAATTTGTGGTCTCACATATTCTGCTGCTAAGAGATTCGCTAGAAGTGACTGCCTTGATACTTAATACATAGAGCCTCAATGTCGAGGACTCGATAAGGAGGAGCAATATCGAGGACTCGATAAGGAGGAGCAAAGACATGCATCTTTATAGTTGAACGAGACAAATCTCAAAGGGAAGTTATAAATATAGGAGTATGTTTTTTTAGGATCCGATACGATTTTAGCTGAGTCAGGTGGTCCACCACCTCCCCTAGCTAATGCCAAGGTGATCCACGTGATATGTGGCGGATCTGAAATTTGTGGTCTCACATATTCTGCTGCTAAGAGATTCGCTAGAAGTGACTGCCGTGGGGTAACGCAGGTACCGATAGAGCAACGTAGACTTCTTGGAGTTAGCCCTTTTGCCATGACCAATCATCCACTGATGTCGCTACTTCAAATCATGTGTGTTTTTTCATTTGAAATTCTATTATAATTATTTTGGAGATAAAATACAGATGGTGCTGGCCATGGAATAGATAATCAAGTGATATTCTATTATACCACAACGACTATGGCCACTTGACGGAAGAATGTAACGCTCTGAAGAAGGAGGTTGTCTGGCAGCTGAAGAATGTAATGCTTTCGTGGCTTTTTTGCTTTTATTGTTTTCGTCATTTTATTGTTTTATTGTTTTGGCCGACACGGTACTCTTTGGAAGACGGAGACTCGGATTAGGCCACCCAAGCTGGCGAGGCTGCACAGAACCAAGTTGCTAGGAACCCGGCCAATACCATATATGGTTTGTCATTACCTTCACAATTTTATTGTCTTAGCTTCATTCAAGCATTGGTCTTTATTCAATACTAGGATTAGTATTGTAGTTTCTGTTTCACTTGGCTTTATATATCTACTTGTAGACTTGTAATAGCATTTATATTACTGTGTGTATAATTCTATTAATCGAAGCTTCCACATGATGGTGTCTGTTTTGCACATTTGATTTCATAGATTTGAAACAAATACCAATTATATTACAGGTTGAATAGATAACTGCCACATCCTCTGCTTATATTGGGCTACATGGTCAACCGGGTTGGTAGTCCCATCGTACAACATAATCAGATAGAACATTTAAATTTGAATTTCTTCCCAAAACGGAAGCAGCGAATTGTAACTTGAAGCCTCGTTCCATCGCCAATTTCTCCGGATTGGTGAACAAGTTCTACCAGCAGTTTGCCAATAGCTGAACCTTGAAGAAGTAGTCTAGCGATCTGTACAGGACCACCCAGAAGCCCGGAGAATCTACCCAGTACTACCTTGACTGGTTCACCAAGGAGATGATCCACATTCCGAAACCTGGATCTGCCCACAGCCTTTGAGGCCATGGGTCGGGTCGGGCCAGTCTTGACACAAAAAAATAAGACCCTATATTCGGGGCGGGCCGGGCTTGAGGTTGTCCAGAGTCCTAAAATATTTGAGCGGGTTTTTTCAGGCCGGGCCCAGAAAATTAACTAAATTACATGAAATTTCATTCCCAAAGTCCGCCCAAAATTTGGGTCGGGCCGGACCAAGTTTGATCAGCTCTAGAAAAAGTACCCAATTTGGCCCTTCCGTATGTAATTAACGGTTTAGCATAAATGCATAATAATATTCTGTCTCGTCAAAAGATAATTCAATTCTCATCAAACAATCTAATAATCTAATAACCTATACTAAAGCAATCCCCACCCCTTCATATTTTCCCTCCCAAATTTCCCTCCCATTCCCACCCTATTATTATTATTATTATTATTATTATATTATTTATATTTATTATTGCATAGAAATTTTAAGAAACATTTAATTAGGTTAATAATTGTACTTTGGATAAAACTTTAAACATTTATTAATTGATATACATATATAATTCTATTTATTATCACAAATAAAACATTATTATGAAATAATCACATTTAAAAAAATAAGTTTTGACTTTATTTACGGTATTTCGTATTTTATTTAAAAGTCGAGCATTTGCTCGGGTATTATCTAGTTTTCAAAATAATTCAATTTTCTAACAATTTTTAAAATAATTCAGTTTTCTAACAATTTTCAAACATTTCAATTCTCAACTCCACAACTCACGCCGATTCTCAATCAACACCCTCAGTACGCCGATTCTCAATCAACACCCTCAGTCAACTCCACTACTCACGCCGATTCTCAATCAACACCCTCAATCAACACCCTCAAAACACACCCCCGATTCGCCGGCCACCGCTCAACTCACGCCGCTCAACTCACACCGCTCAACTCCGCTTTTGTAACTTTTTCAAGGTAATTTATTTATTTCCGAGTTTTATTATTTATTCAACCTTTCAATTTGTTATTTATTCTAACTTTCAATTTGTTAAAATGCGAAATCAAACTTTCAATTTGTTATTTATTCAACAGTGATTATGAACAAATGAGCACAAATATGACAATTACAATTACAATGATTGCAGTAATTGCTGAAATTCCTTCCTACTTTCAATGTGTTATTTATTCAAGCTGAAATTGAAGCGGAAAGACCAGTTTGTTAGATTCTTGTTATTGGGTTGGATTGTTGTTGGTTGTATTGTTCAGTTTATAGTAGTAAAAAAAATAGACTAGTAAAAAAAAATTGCACCTAAAAATGATGAAGCCTTGATTATGTTCTCTTAGGCTTGAACCACCCATTTTTTCTTGTCTTAGCTTGGAATTAAGCTTGAAATTGATGAAAGATTCATGCTTGAACACACAAACAAGCATGAATTCATGCTTAAACTTGACCTATTCTGTAACAGTGCTTAGTTCTACAAAATTTCAAAGCAGCTCAACTAAGATTGAAAATTCAAGTTCAAGCATGTTTATTGTTCTATCTTGCTTTAAGATTGACTAATTTTGCTCTATCTTGCTTGTTTATTGTTGTCAAAACATGCTTGAATTTTCTCACATATGTATGACAGTTTGGCTTAAACTTGAGCAAAGTTGATAATGTCCCATAATAAGAAATTCCTAGCTCTCCAAATTAAGTACATTGCAACATTGATGACAGCGTAACAGAAAGCTTTCTGAAATTTAGTTTTAGAACTCCTTTGCACCTTCCTAAAGCTGTGAACATAGGTATTACAGAAGCAGCTAGGCAACCAGCTTCTGACCTTGTCCCAGATTAGCTTGATAACAGAACAACCAAAGAACAAATGAGTCAAAGACTCGCTTTTAGTCCTGCACAACACACAGATATCAGTATCAGAAATGCTCATCTGTTTTGGAATGATATTTGTTTATTTTTCCCTTTTTTTAATGTTATATCTTATTAAATTTTATGTGACAGAGAAATAACATCAAAAGTTACGAGTTCTACTCGTTTGAAGACGAGCTTAGGTTATGTCCTTGTGGTTAGGGAGTTGTCTTGGCCGAGTTATGTCTTACCCAAATTAAGTTGATCGCATTTTCTTTGTAGGTACTTGTAGTTGTAGTTGAGTTTTGTTAATTTTTGAAAACAGCTTTATGTTTGTAGGTACTTGTAGTTGAGTTTTGTTAAATTTTGAAAACAGCTTTGGGAATTACCTTATGGGTTGATTTCCAAGTCCTGAAGCCTTCACCTAGATTCAAGAGAGTTAGTGTAATTGATTAATATTTAACAAAAAAAAGTTTTAGTTTCAAGTACAAAAAATGAAGTTAACCTGCACTTGTAAATAGTAGTGGCCATCTTTACTATTGTACTAAAATATGAATTCCGATTATCGCTTTAAATCTCCCCCTTACTGCATTCAAGCTAGAAAGACAAGCATCCAGATTAGACAGATCAACAGGCACAGTAGTAGAAGCTGCAGTTATAGCACAACACTTCTGACTATAAGGACAAGCAAAAAACAAATGATCCATAGATTCATCCTCCAAACCACAAAGAGGGCAATCTGCAGATTCCACAACTCCAAAATCAAACAATTTGTCCCTTGTTCTCAATTTCCTCCACATAAGATTGCTAGTCTTTGAACATAAAGAAATTCAACTTTGACATTCATTAACCAAATACATCATAAAGATGACACCTTTAAAATTTACAAATTCCAACTTCTCGGTTATTGATGCAAGTTCATTATTGATGCAGTTCATGCATGCAGTTTTATTCACTGCTGTTATGCTTATCTTTAGTTTACTATGTTAAATCATATACTGAAGATTTTTATTTGGCCTAATGGGCTTTGTATGTGTTTGTCATTTACCAGGGAATGGAGCACAACTATAAATTCGTCGGCAAGCTCACTACCCTTAGTGATACAGAAAATATATTACGTGAAACTTCTCAGCCGTTTCTCGAGGATTGCTTGTCAAAAGGAGGTTTGTACAACCTACTAACCCTACCCAAATCCACGATTCCAACACCACTTTTGTCAAAGCTGGTGAAATATTACAATCCCATTTCCAACACGTTCAACATTCGAGGGAATGTTCTAGGAATAACACTTGAAGATGTATTATTCCTAGCTAGGATCAAGATTGATGGGACTCCCGTCCTTCTCAAAGATTACAGCGACAAGCATTGCCATGATATTTTTGGTGAGGCTGTCAATGATTTTGACCACCTTCAGGAGATTATCGGCGACACAAGTTTGGATGAAGACAAGCGCAAGGCAGCACTATTGATGTTAATAGTGCAATGCGCTATAATGCCGTCTCACCATGGGAATCACTTTTATCCCGCATTTTTCGAGGTCCTCAGCGATCCAGATGGGACATGTGGGACTTATGCATGGGGGGCCGGCATGCTTGCCTTCCTCCAACATCATTTGGAGAAGTTATTTGTGGAGAATACTTCCGAGAAAACAGATATATTGTGGTTGGCTAATACTGGTAAGCTTCTTTTTTTTTTAATCAATCTTTATTTTATGAAATTTATTATTTAAAAATTAATGTGATTGTACTTTACAGTGTTTCTTCTTCGTACGAATCCCGAAGTTGTGGGATTCTATAGGCCTCACATCTGTGAGGGAAGAGATGGAGGCGGGGCAATTAGCTCAACACCCATTCCCAATGAGGTGGATACTGGAGAAGCTGGCAGTCTCCACCCTTGGAAAAGATCAACGGGGGGGTTACCTCAAGAAGATGGACCCTGTTTTCAAAAATCTTGAAGATCAGGTACTAACTAGTTTTTTACCCGGCTTTGCCCGGTGATGTTTTATTTGCTTAATTATCATGTTTACAATACATTTGAAGTGGTTATTAGGATAAAATTTCATATTATCTTAATTAAGCTTGCTTATGTTTGTGCTTGACTCCGTCCTTTTCCATTAAAAATCATACCTTTATATATAAATACCAAGTGATATATGACATTACGACAATAACAATATATACTTGCAACATGTTGTAGAATAGGAGTAGCAAACCAATATTGTGAAAAACCAAATTCATAGATCACAATCTCAATTATTATATACATCCCTCTCCATATACCATGAGCTTCAAAGAGTCTACGACCTAACAATGACACAAGGTCACACAAAACATTCTATTTTTGCAAAGTTTAAACCACCAATGTTTATTCAGTGTTTAAAACAAACCATAGCTACAAGAAATAGATCAAACTAAATAACATCATCATTGGTTGAACTTCATATCGATGCAAGACCCCGAGATCTCTAGTAAAGATACTCCTTGCCACCACCCTAGCTAGCTGTTGTTGTAATGAATGTAACCCTTATCATAGTTCATATCCACTTGTCACTGCTACTCTTGTCATAGTTCTTCCTTGTAACTTTCCCCTGCCTGAGGACATTATTTCCTCTATTTCTTGGTTTGATTTTCCCATCAGGGTGTTAGCAATACACTCAGTGTTCCGCCTAGTTTTTGCCCCAAACCTACTGTGGTTGCTAATGTGCCAGATGTGCCTCCTAAATCAACAAATCAATCTTTCAATCAATCAATAAATTCCTTTAATACAGCATGTCAGTAACATGATTAATTCTCTATTTTCATTAACTTCCTCATTCATTAGTCAATCAATTACTATGATAATTGATAAAAAAATATTCACATTAAAAAAAATCCACTTCCTTGGTGGGTATAAATACACACATAATTCACATTGCTTTCTTTTATTCTACGTACTAATAACAATTCTTTTTCTCTTCTTTTGTTCTCTAATTCTAATGTTGTCGATTGTGTTTGCAACAATTTTCTTTATGATTTTTTCACTTTTCAAACATTGTTTACCGATATTATAATTTTGCATGCTTGTGTTTGTTAGAAAATTTCACTTTAATCTATTTTTATTGACTCTTGTAAAACCCTTATCAATTTCTTGGTTCATATTAGATTATTATTTATTTATATTTTTTTATACTAACACATTCATTTATATTTTTTTATACAATATTAAAATCCATCATCAAGATTAAAATTCATATATTAACTATTTTATTAAAATTGAGTATTAAGTTTAAAAAACATCGCATGGCGTGTAAATTAGACCAATATTATTTAAAACCGAACATTTGATCGGACAATTAACTTGTGGTAACAACAAATGATAACCGCAGAGGACTACAGTGCTACCGCTTGAATAACTTGACATTTATATGCCGCTTACTTTGACCTTATTTCACCTTAGAATCCTTAGATTACACTGTACTCTGGTGCTTTCTTTCCCAGCTCAAATGCCCTCAAACTTGCTCTAATTTCTTTCACTTATTTTTTATTTGCTCTGATCATTGTTCGTCATTTCTCGTTTCACTCTTTTCAATTGCTTTTATGTAAGTTTTCTCAATTCATCTTTGAATTTCCTTCAATTTAAAGTTTATTTTCATATGCTTTTGTTTTGCTGGGGTTTTCAAATAGCTTGCATGTGTAACTACTTGCTTGGTTCTCAATTCACAGTTTGTCATGTTAATTTTCATGTACAGTATTCAATTTGTAGTGCTTTTGATCGATTTAGATGACAGAGCCTAATGCATGCAAACAATTTTTATTTTTTTAGGTTTCATAAAAAAAAGGGTGTTGGTAAATTTACTTCACTATACATTTATGTGATCATAATAAAAAAATTATATACTCCCTCGGTTCCACTAAATTCATGCCCTAAGGCCATAAGGGAAATCGACACTATTCATTAGTAGTCAAAATAAATATAAGAATAGTCAGGTGGAGTCTTGTTAAAATCGTATTAACAACTAGTTTATTAAATTTCAATTTTTATAATTTTACTCATGTACAATTAAAGATATTTGACTTACAACCTGTTTGGTTGAATATTAGTAAAGGAAGAGAAGAGAAAGGAAAAGAAGAGAAAGGAAGGGAAAGGAAAGGAAGAGAAAACAAGCTTATTTTCCAATGTTTGGTTCAAATAAATGAAGTGAAAGAAATTCAGCTTATTTTCTTAGACATTAATAAAGGAATGACGGAAAGTGTTATATTTTCTTCCACTTCCTTTCCCACCATTTCCTCTCTACCAAACAGACTCTTAGAAATTGTGCATTGACAAACGTGTAAGAAATCGAGGATTGCACACAATTTTTAAGAAACGGGGAAGTATTATTTATTAATTCTCACTTTATTTTAAAAAATATCTTAAATCATTGATTCATGCAACTTGTCGTATATATTGAACAAGTTAAATAAGCACTACATTTGAAAACTTTCAATTAAAAATTAAATTGACGTGACTTATTTTACTTGACATATTAAACATGTTATCTTATAAAAAAAAATCTAAGATAAAAAATTGTCTATCAAATAACTTCAAATATCAAAATAATATTTTTTTATACTAATTATATTTTAAAATTTAATTGTTGATTATTGTTCAGTAATTTCTATTATAAGTCAAATATACTCAAACTCTTTCCTTTTGTTTAAAATCTCTATTAAAGGATTGAGCCTATTACACATACAAAAAAAATTTAATTGTTGATTATTGTTTAGTAATTTCTATTATAAGTCAAATATACTCAAACTCTTTCCTTTTGTTTAAAATCTCTATTAAAGGATTGAGCCTATTACACATACAAAAAATTTAAAATAATTTTAAATGGTCTATCTTAGTCAGTATCTGATTCTGTTTGAAGACATTGCTTCAAATTATCATTGCAGTGTAAGAAGATAGGAGTAATCAATATGAAACTAACTAAGAAGATAGTAGTAATCAGTATGAAACTAAATTTTTGAATTGTAATTTTTTAACCAAGAAATGTTGATGGATTTTTATGTGCAGGAAGTTATGGACTTTATCAAAGAAGAAAGTATGATTAGCTGCTCAAAATTATCTGTGTCTTCTCCTTTTGCTGTGCCACGAAAAGCATGTACTAAGCCTTTTCACTGCAAAAGACGCCTGGATTTTGATGACACATCTTTTCTCGGAAAAAGAAGCCGAGTTGGTGATGAAATGGGGTTTTCTGAAAGTACACAGCAGGATTCAAATCTTAATGCAAGAATTACTGTCCCTATTGATGACTTGGGGAAACAAAAGGAAGAAATCCCTGAACCACCTCTTGAGATTGGTATGTGACCTCTAACCTTGGATGCAAATTTTATCTTCATTTCTGTTTCGTTACAACTATATTACAATTTCATAACATTTTGAGACCAAACACTACAAATCATGTGACAAGAAAAAATTAAGTCAAAGTTGAACAACTATAAATGGATGAAGCATGAAAGTTAAAATGGAGTACGTGACCAAAACTGTACGTACCTACTTAAGAGTTAAGACTTGCCTATAAGGTTTTACTAGTATGAACTAGCATGTTCCATCCCTAATTGATTAAGTGATACTTGATGGTTTTACACTTTTACTTAAGCATTTAAACATAGTCCAATCGAAAATTGATATGCATTGAATCAAAATAATTTGTTCTCAGGGTACTTAAAGAATAAGGAGCAAGATGAACCAGAGATACTCCATAAATGTTTAACGTTGTTGCAGCCAAATGTTGGCTCAGCTAGTGAGTATGTCTCAAGTGATGACGGAGAAGAAATAATGGTGTCTGAGAAAGAAAACAGGAAAGACGCTTTTGTGGTGGGACCACCAACCCCCTCTCCAACAAGGAGAAAGCGTGCGAAGCCTACCATGAAAATTCAGAAAAATAAAATGGAAGAAGTCTCAGAATTGTTTGCTCATTCGCATTATTTAACTCGTTCAATTATGGAGCAAGTGTTGATAGCTATTGAAAAAGATAAAGATAAAATGGTAAGTCGTACACGAATAGGCCGTGTGCTGAAGTTGCATAACAAAAGAGTCTCCCCAAACTCGAAAAACCAGCTATCATTGAAAAAAACAAAGGATGCAAATAAAGTATGGCAAGCTTTGATGAAGAAAGCTATCGCTGAGAGTTGTGACACAGTCTTTGAAAAAGACGGGACCGTCTCAGTGGAAGATAATTCATTAATCTTCCACAGAAAGGTGAAATCATTCATATCCAAAGTGGGTACCATTCAGGGTGAGCAATCAGCTTAGCATGTTTTTGGTGATTGATTGACAAGATGTTGATTTCAAAAAATTGTTGTTAGCAGGAGAAGTTTGTTACTTAACTACTGAACTAATCAAGATATATCACTTAAATTCTCCATTTTACTTAAACTGCCTATATGTTAACACCAAAACCTGAGCGAAAGAGACATTCATTAAAAGGAAAATTTCTCGAAAACTATATAATCTTTTGTTTCCTCCAAATTAATATAATCTTGCTTACTTTCACCTAAGTAGCTTGTTATATTTACAGTAAAGTAGCTAATCTTGAATCTCTGCATAGGTAAAAGAGATTATTCTCCATGGAAAGGCTCAGTGTTGGACTCAGTTATTGGTGCTTTATTGACTCAAAGGGTGGGCGACAACTTTTCAAGGTACATATTCTCATATGTTTAAGAACTTTTTCGGGAAACTATTGTAAAAACAGCAGGTTGCAGAAATAACTTTTCAATTCTCGGTGCAGTTCTGCTTTTATGGAACTTGGCGTGATCTTTTCCCAGGACCGTGATTGCGTTGCTTATGGCCGGCATCATCAAATGTTGAGAGATCAAAGAATTAAAGGTGGTCGTGTTTGCCATAATAATCAGGATAAAAAGGGAACAGAATGAAATTGAGTGCTGACAATAAGGAAAGTTTGGATGAGAAGAAAGTGAAAAACTCGATAAAAGGAAAAGTTTCAGGGAAGAGGATGCAATATGGCAGTGTGGATATAGAACGAACCATTAATACGGTTGATTATGTGGATTGGAATGCTGTTAGGCGAGCTAAAGTTGAGGACATCTCGGATGCCATTTTATTAAGAGGCATGAACATTAAGCTAGCTCACCGCATCAAAGTATGTTGTTGGTACAATTGGTACTATTCTAAAAAGAAAAGGTTTTGATATAAGATTTGTTAAACCGGAGTTTCTTGAAAATTATATTTAAACCTAAGTTTATTTTAAAGTGTGAATATATTTTCCTGTTTCTAAGATTCTGTGAATTAGTACATATTATTGAACAGAGGGTATTACATTTGCAGGAATTCCTAGACCGACTTATGAAGGATCACGGGAATTTGGACCTTGAATGGGTTCGAAATGTTCCCCGGCTCAAAGCAAAGTAAGCCTGACAGTCATTTACTGTTGAATAACCTCACTGAACTCTCAGAAATCATCTATTTTATTTTGTACTGCTTTTTATTCACCAACATCTTCTTTTAGGGAATTTCTTCTAAGCATATATGGATTAGGGCTAAAGAGTGTAGGCTGTGTCCAACTTTTGACCCTCAAACAACCAGCATTTCCTGTAAGGTTTTTCATGAAGTCTGATTATTTTATAATTTGAAGATTATAGTCTTTGACAATGGAATTTGACATCAATTTTGCGGAACAGGTTGATGTGAATGTTGCTCGAGTGACAGTGCGTCTTGGGGAGGTTCCAATCCCAGAAAACACAAGTGATAATCTTCTAATGTCTGTTTTGTATGAGTAAGAAACTGAGAATTATCACTTTATAATTTCGTTGAATCACTTTTGGTTGCAGTGATAAAGATCATAAAAAATATGTCTGCAGGTCCTCTAAACTTCATGATTTGATTAATCAATATCTTTGGCCCCGGCTGAGCAAACTTGACCATAATACCTTGTAATGTTATATAAACTATAATCATTTAAATGCGAAAAGACTTGTTTCATTTGCCTAAATAATGTTATATATCTTCAATGGTTAATTCTTTTGAGTATTTAGGTATGAGCTGCATTATCAGATGATTACATTTGGGAAGGTAAGTTTATTATCTAACTTTCAGAGTTATAATCTTATTTTCTTATAGACAAGTAATAGTGGCTTGTTATTTTTAATTACAGGTCTTCTGTACAAAGAAGAAACCTAGCTGTGCCGAATGTCCCATGAGAAAGGAGTGCAAAAGTTATGCTGATATTGACATAGAAGACTCTGATGGCATGGGTTGGCTTATCACTCAAAGAATGTTGACAAGAGCTAAAGGGGGATCATCAAAATCAAAACTGAGAGGACAAGAAGGTCCAGTAAAGAAGGATCAGACACATTTCACTCTGGTGGTATTGAAGCTCCAAAAACACCAGCAAAAGATGAATCACACCAGAAACCGAGAAGTCACAAAGAAAAGAACACACATGTTTCTTCTTCAATAGGAAGGAAACCTAAAAAAAGCCAGACAAGGACACAACACTGTGTGTGAGTTGCTTGTAAACCTTATTACTCATACTCAGCATTTCATATTAGGCATTGTTGCAAGTGTCAAGTCTAAGTTTGACACTCAAATATTTGAATCAATGCTCAATAATTTTAGTCCAAAAAGCATGAAAGAGTCCATAATTTGAAGCCCTTGTTTTGGTGTATCTTATATTTGTTGTGAAAATGCGTCCCAAACATAGGTATGGAGTCTTAGAAGAAAAAATGATTTAGTTTTCAACCATTTTACTGACATTTTGCTTAATGAGTATATCGATACTTTGTTGCTGATCCATGGACAGTAAAAACTTCTATACAAGTCTTGTCAATATTTTAGCACCAATATAGAAAAGCTAGAAAAAGATTGTTAAATGTTGATATTTCTACTAACTCGTGTAATTGCCAATGCAGTTATGAGCTTCCAGATTGGCATCCGATTCTAGAAACGGTGACTGCTAATTTTGTATCTATTTGAAACTTATCTACGCTTAGTCAAATCTGTCATGACTGTTTATTGCTCGTGTAGTTTGATGACCGAATGTGTGATGATCCATCCCCATATCTTCTTCTGGTATGGGAATCAGGTAGTCATTTGTTCGATGTTAAGACATGATTTATTTTAATTTATTTTTTTACTAATCGCATGCCATTTGTTCAGGAGATCCATCGGTGGAAATCACACCGCCTTCAGGTCTTAGTAACAGAAAATGGTCTGAGACAGTTCCTGGGACAGTTATGGTGAGAAAGATGCAAGCTAAATCTTTTGATTTATATGCAATAAATATGTAAAAAGATGTCCATTTCTAAACTTAAATAAAAATCTACAGATTCCCTTTAGGACAGCTTTGAGGGGGAACTTTCCACTAAATGGAACTTATTTTCAGACAAATGAGGTACACCATTGTATTTTTCAGGATGCTATCAATGCTTAAAGAATTCTACTATTTAGGTTTTTGCTGATCAGAAGACCAGTCAAGTGCCAATTGATGTTCGTTGCAAAACTTTACAACAACTACATAAGACGACGCTGTACTGTGGAAGCAACTTATCCAAAATAGTTACAGGTTACAAATGCTTGTTTTTTGTTTACAAGAGCGCTAAGAACCTGAGATCTTTGTCCTTGGATAGTTTTTCATATTCTTATTGGAGTCATGTTTAGTAACAAATAAATATAGTTTAATCCATGATTTAGAAGAAAATGATTATTTTTTACTACCTATTACTAAAAATTTCAAAATATAGTATAGGACTAAGTGGTGCAACTATGTATGGACGTAAAATTTGTTGTTTGAAATAATTCAAGTGACTTAACGATTTTTGTCTTGTCAGGTTTATCCGCCAGTGAGGTGAAAAGACTTTTCAATGAAGGTGCATTTCTTCATGTTTTTTCCCCTTTCTCATCTTAAAGCCACAAGGTTATGATTAATGGGTTGAGCACTTGAGTGCATATATTAACATGTTGATTGGTGTAGGCTATATATGTACAAGGGGTTTTGACCGCGAGAAATCTGCTTCAGTTGCTTTAGAAAATCCATTGTGTACACCGTCCCTGATCAAAAAACGAAATCTATAACTTGCAGTGAAGCATGTCACTCTGTTAGTTTAGATGAACTACTACGAGAGGGGGGGTGAATAGTAGTAGGTTCCAATCGCGGAACTTAAGCGGAAATAAACAATAAAAACATAAAGAAACTTAAAGCACACACCAAGTTTACGAGGAAACCATCCAGTGCCTAACTGGAAGTAAAACCTCGGCCCTATTGGGACTTATAAACAAATTCCACTATAATAGGCAACTCTCCTAGTACAACCTATTACACAGACCTTTGCTTCGCAAGTTCCTCTTAAGACACTTGCTGATTGATAAGAACCTATCCTATCAGACCTAAGACAAACTCAGGCACCTTTTTCGACCCAAGACACACTCAGGTTCCTTTCTCGACCTAAGACACACTCAGGTTCCTTTTTCCCACTATGCAACCCAAGACACACTCGGGGTGACTGACTACCACTCGAATTTTAGAGAATTCAAACTCATACACTCAAACATGAATTTAAGAGAATTCACAATCTCACCCCAAAACCAATTACAACTCAAAGACACACTCTAACACATAAATGGAAAGCTACACATGAAACCCGAAATAAAAATGATAAAGCTTGAACCTTTGGCAAACTTACTCTTAAGCACTAAGTGGTTTTCACGCTTAAAACTCTCATCTTGCTAAGCTGAAATACTTCTATATTTATAGGAGTTTCTCAGCTTCTCAAACTAGGGTTTTCGCAAACAAGATAGATCAAATAGAAATCTGATCTTATCTTCCTTAAAACCGAAACCAAACGGATTTAATTTCGTTTTTATGAAAACCAAATTTTATCAAATTTGTTTTTATTAAAAGATAGAATTTTATGAAAAAGATAAAACCAAGTTAAACCAGATTTTATAAGATAAAATAAATTAAGTACTTTTTCATAAAACTTATAATTATCTTTTACGAATTAATTAGTTTGCCAAGCTTTATCTGATTTCTAATAAGTTCCATGCATATCTATCATTTATATGTTTACATCATCCTACGAAAACAAATTTATCTTTTACACAACTATAAGTTATGAAGTCCATCTTCTTCGGTTGATATCTCGATCTTTGTGTTGAACCTTGATTGTTGAGGCTTGCCCCAACATTACACCAGAACCAGGTCGTTACAACCCGTTTGAAGTTCCTGTTGAGAAACTTCGGGAAGTTCCATTGCTGGAACTCTTCTTCTGTTCTTTACTTGTCCTCATGGATCTTCTAAAGTTCCTTTGTTCCAGATCCTACTTCAGCCCTCTACGCTTACTGAACCTGCCAACATCACAACACTAGAAAATCCTTATTAAAAGGAAGTTTGCTCAATTCTTAACATCATCAAAACTTCATAAGAGTCAACACACTCTATGAAGATGGTACCTTCCCACCTCTAAGAGCATGTTTTTGCTTTGTAATGGTTTGTAAGTGGAGCAATTTTTTATTTTTTTTTGAAACTGTTTCACACTTTTTGTTTTGTTTTTTTTAAACTGTTTCACACTTTTTGTAATATCAAGTTTGATAAATTTAAGCCATCTCACTACTTGATGTATAAAGTTTCTTTTCAGAAATTTGTATCTGACCAACGTCAATTCATTGGTTTTGACAATATGTAAATAAATAAAGTCTCCCTATGGTTGACGTTTTTCGTGTACTTGAGATGTTTTCTTATACTTCGTATTAGTGATTTTATGTGTATTTGGGATGTTTTATGCAACATTTTATATGTTACTACATTCTCTATTTATAAGGCCGATAAGACAAATTTTATGTTACATATATTTGACAAATCAACTACAATTTTTTTTAAAAGAAAAAATGTACAACAATTAATTTAGTTTAATAAATTATTATTGATTAAATGTTACATAAATTTGACAAATCAACTACAATTTTTTTTTTAAAGAAATACTTCATCACTGTTCATATATAATCCACTAGTCTTACATGCACGCATCTATTTGAT